AGGAGAATGCAGCTGTTGTTCAACATAAAAAAATACAAGTGAGATCTGTGGATTTACAGAAGCAAATTGGAGATTATAAATTGAGGCCTTCTGTGATTGAATTCAGGAGAAGTCAGACTCCGAGGAGTGGATCCCGGTTTGGATTAAAGAAGGAAAGTTGGAAAGAGCCCTCTATGCAGGGACTAACTGGCTTTTGGGACATGGACCAGTTAGGGCCTGGAAGAGATTGAAGTTTTGGGGGCCTTTGGAATTGGAGGAACTTTGAAATATGCCCGGAAATGCTTTATGGACTGTAGTTTTAACTATGGAAACTCAGCTGATTCGTCCAGAAGGAAGAAAAGGATTGACAGGTTGGAATTTCTCCGAGATTGGCTCTTCAGCATTAAAGAAAATGAAGAAGACCCGCAGAAGGGACTTGGAAAAGAGTTAAGAGCCTCGGACATAAGGTCACCAGGTTGATGGACTTTATGGAATTGATGGAAAGGACTGGCAGAATCCGAAACCTGGGAGAAGAGATGGTGGAAGAAGATTGGAAAATTAAAACTTTTTATATAGACTTATGGTAAAACTAATGAGTGATAGAAAAATGGTGGAATGATTTTTTATTTTTTATTTTTTATTTCTTATGGGCTTAATAGAAATGTTATAAGGAGTTAAGTACATATAAGTAATTTAGTTTTAATGGAAAATAAGGTTAAAATAATACGTTATTTACAATATCACAGAAAATGGAGAAAGATGGAAAGGATTTGCTGAAACAATAGAAGCGGAATACAAAAAGGGAGGTGTGAGGAGGTCGAGGAAACAAGGGAATGGAAGATAGAGTATGAAAAAGAGAGGATGTATGTTTTTAAATTGTTTTTGTTTTGGGGAGTGGGGTTTGTTTAGTTTAGTTTAATGTGTTTAGTTTTGAGTTTAGGTTGTGTTTTGTATTGTTTATATATTGTATTGTATGGTTTTTTTTTTCTTCTATTTGTTTTTTTCCTCTGTTTTTTCTTCTGTTTTTTCTCTTTTGCTTTTTTATTTCTCTCTTTTTGTAATCTATAAAAGTAATAAATATTATTTTTAAAAAACCAACATAATAGACCTCAGGTTTCCAGAACTTGGAGAGGATGTGCTACAGCAGGTGGGGCACGTGTACACACACACTTTATCCCAGTTTTGTTTAAATTCTGGCAGATTGTAAAACTTGTAACTCTAAAATGGAAAAAAGGCCATAGGCAGGTAAATGCTTGCACTCATGCCTGCAATGGACCTTGGGTTCAGAAAGTACTAATTAGAAACAGAACTGTTAGAACCCAAAACTAAGATTTTGTCAAAGATGTATAACTTGCTGTTGAAATGGAATACTCAGGATGAAACGGTGAAATCTGCTATGATCAAATGGGCACAAGATGTTGGACATAACATAATGATGGCTGACTGGGAACAGTTATGGACCACAGGTATGAAGTTTACGGCATGTAATGCCTTAAGAGAGAATATTATGAAAATGATATACAGGTGGTACATGACCCCAGTCAAGCTTGCAAAAATTTATCATTTGCCCGATAACAAATGTTGGAAATGTAAAGAAACTGAAGGTACATTCTTTCACCTTTGGTGGACGTGCCCAAGGATTAAGGCTTTCTGGGAAATGATATATAATGAACTGAAAAAGGTATTTAAATATACCTTCTTGAAGAAACCAGAGGCCTTTCTCCTGGGCATAGTCGGTCAATTGGTGCCAAAGAAGGACAGAACTTTTTTATGTATGCCACAACAGCAGCAAGAATACTCATTGCAAAGTATTGGAAGACACAAGATCTACCCACTCTGGAAGAATGGCAGATGAAGGTGATGGACTATATGGAATTGGCGGAGATGACTGGTAGAATCCGAGATCAGGGAGAAGAGTCGGTGGAAGAAGATTGGAAGAAATTTAAGGACTATCTACAGAAATATTGTAAAATTAATGAATGTTAGAATGATGTTGGATAGAAATTAAGTGGTTTTCAGCTGTAATACTATAAGGGAATATGAAAAATGGATTATTAATAGGTAAAAATTTAACGTTACAATATTTTAAGATTAAAGATTAGGATAAACAAAGAGGGTAAGGATTTGCTGAAACAACAAACTGAACTGGAATACAAAAAAGGGAGGCGTGAGGAGGTCCAGGAAATAAGCTAATGAAAAATAAGTAATGGAAAGATCGAGTTGTTTTTAGCCATTTTTATTTTTGTACTTTTTTCTTCTTTTGTTTTTGTTTTGTAACACTTCGAAAATCTTAATAAATATATTTTTTTAAAAAACAGAAAGTACTAATTGTGGGGTGGGAAAAGCAACACAGAGTTCAAACGTATCCCATCAAGCACCGCCTGCTACTGTGGATGACAAACACTATGACAGAGTTTAGTTGAAAGTGCATTTGTAAGCAATATTGTTTAGTTGAAACAGGTGCATAAAGACAGTAATATGTTAGCATTTCTAATATGGGTAGGTAATCAGTTACTGTGTGGGAGTATACACCTGGTGGTTTAACCCTAGCACCTGTGGAGATCTTTAGGCGCATCTGATGACTAAAATATTCACATTCAATGTGCATAGTGCAATGAGATTGCTGAGCAGCACAGAATGACTTGGGAGTCTATTGAGTTTACAGGACCTCAGGGAATTAGGAGGCAATACTGAGACGATGTCAGGAGAGAGGGGATAGAACATGGAATAGGAGGAATATAAAAGGAAGCAATGTAATAGGAGGCTTCTAAGGCCAAGGAGAACACCCCAGTAATCAACGGAGAATCAAATGGCATACAATACCTGCTATGCTGGTATCCTTAGCTTTGACTGCATCATGGCTAACCAGAGGTTGAAGACTCAGATATAACGAACTTATGTGACATGTTCCACTAGCATTTATTTAAGTTAAAGAAAAAAACATATACATAATAGTTATTTTAACCTGTTTTATTAACAACAATATGGATTCAGTTTATCATGAAATTACAATTAACATTGTATTCTAATATAATGGCTTAAGCCATTTTAGCATCAGTGGAAATGTCCCTTATATTTTTCCATTACTGTCATACAACCAACCTTCAAGCACTTTCCCCTCATATTTTAGCCAGTTTTAGTTTCTCATAACACACCCAGTGGCCAAAGGTTTTGTTTGTGGAAGTATTCCATATCTGTTTGAATTACTGGAAATTTTATGAAAACCTAGGAAACAATTTAAATATTCATAGCAATTTTTGATGTTGCAGTCAATTTGAACAATATTAAAACAATTTTGTGGTAAAGAAGGGAGCTGAAGCTCAGAAAGGCAAATCTAATTATTCTGCAAATAAAGCCAATGAAGTTAACAGAATCACACCAGGTCAAAATTGGTCGTCTTATGGTTATTTATTAAGGCCCCAATTCTAAAAACAAAAACAAAACATTCTTGTGTGTGAATCTATTGATCACTGAAATGTTCATATATTTAGGATGGACTAAGGCTGTGATTCTAAGCACATTCACAACAAAATCTTATGCACTGCAATCTTATGCATTCAGAAGCAAGTAAGTCCCCACTGGCCCAGTTAGAACATAAAACTAAGCCAAACCATGGCCAAGCATGAAAGAGTGAGTGTGTAGGTATTCACAGTAAAAATCAGTTATTTCACTCCTCGGTCCTTTTGCTGCTGCTCAGGAACTAAGCCATAGTTTGGCTTAGCAATACAGCATGTCCAAATCCGGGCTGTTGGTTTGTCTCTTACAAACCTCAGAAGATAAGCCAAGAACAAACCTTAGCTACAGCTCATGGTCTGCACGGGGTGAGACAAACCATGAGCCTGGGTTTTGGCATAATGCCAAGTCAACATGGCTTTGCTCTGGGTAGCACAACAGCAGGACAATTGTGGGATGGGGGAAGCAAAATTGTTACGGTCTTTACTGTATCAAGATGTCCACACATTCATGTTTAGGCATGCTTTGGCGAATGAGTCCAATGTAAGTGTATAAAAGATTGTAACTTTAGGGCCAAACTACACATTACATACACATTAGCCCAGTATCTCTTTTTTCATTTCCCTCTTTAATAAGCCACCTCATGAGGGAATTATTGAGAATGTCGAAATACCAGGCAGAAAGAGTTAAGCACTGCCTCCCCACATCACATTCATTTTTCTGCTCAATTATACATTCCAGTACATCTTGTAGAGAACAAGGGCAGCAGGCTATCATATATACCTTTGTGTGATGTAATTTGGCCCTTAATAGAAATAAGTCCCATTGAATACAGCACTTATACACCATGCTTCAGCTTGCTTTTGCTTATATATTTCATTTTTCTTTTTGCTAAATTTTACTGTGCTTTAGCATAACGCTTTTCTTTATCTGCTTTCTGTTACTATTTGTGCATTAATTTTTAGAGTCAACATGACATCTGGATTAACTTAGGGAAGTATTATTTTCCTCAGGAAATATTTGGAACAATGTCATTCACACTTTAAACAGATGCTTAGGAAAACTTGGAGCTCAAACCTGCATTTTCTTAACCTTGACAACACTTGTTGAGGTAAGCTAACAGAATTTTTGAATAGTTCAGTACATATATAAACTCATGGGCAGTACAATTTTATAAAGTGTTTTGGATTGATTTGTCTGGTCAGATGGACAGAAGCAAGTGCCATTGTATTTAATGACAGCAGTCTGTTTAGGTATGAATATCTCATACACATTTACTGTGGTTAGTGTGATATACTGAATTCTAAGTTTGAACACTGTTATCTTTATTTAAATAAAACTATATCATATGAGCAAGAAGAAAATATATATTTTAGATACTATCATCAGAATTATTATTATGTTCAGTTCTTTCTTCAACTTGGAACATGTGACATGCCTATCAAAATAAAATTAATCGTTTACATTGTAAACCACAAATCGTTCGGAAGGATCAAATTATTCCCTCCTGTTTTGTTGTTTTTACAGTTTCCATATGCTCTAATACACAGGGAGATTGACAGCTCTCAATGAATAACAATGGAGAAGTTCATTCTGTCCCTGCTCCTACACTTCATTATCATTGTGGTGAGTTCAGTAGTATTCAACATGAAAATTTGGTAATTATTTCAGCCGGAGGAAAGATGACCCACATGCTATATTGTGCATGTAGGAACTCCCATTGATGATATATGAAATCCACACTTGAGCATTCATATTAAAAATCAAAACCTTCACATAATTGTTTTTTAAAATGTACCAGTGTAATCAGTGTAACAGTAGAAAAAAGACCATGTACATTTAGAATAGCATTTGTAAATCCTGCCAGTGCAAAGGGGTGTGTGTGTGTGTGCTGGGGATGGAGTGAGAATACGAATTGTTAGCTGTAACTTTGCAAAGGTATTCCTGATTTGTATGTATTTTGAAAGTAGCCAACTTTCAAATTATGTGCATAATTAAAACAAGGAGGACTCAAGCATGTCCTCTGATTAAGGCAAAAATAGCAATTTCTGGTAGGTGAATCATCTAAGCCAAGACAACCATAGTTGCCTTGTAGCAGCAACCCTCTCTAACCCATAGCTGAAATGGAGCTCCATTTAGATGCTGTTGTCTCCATAGACGTGGTGGAATGATATTGCATGTTCATCTATTTAAAATGGGAAGCAGGTCTAATTATTTGTACACGTGTTGCTTGCCTTGTGCCTTTGCTCTAGCTCCTTTGTTAAGCTAGATTTCACATGAAGCACAAAAAGGCACTATTAAACATTCAATACATAAAATAAAGGTCTATTGTCTGTATTCTATTTTTTTTAATAGGGAAAAATAGCTTTGGCTGGATAAACTGCAGATATCTAAATAAGGAAGTATTTAAACTCTTGTCTCGGAACTTGTTTTGACAGAAGTATATTTTATATAACAGAGGAAGGAGTGACAAGGCATAAACTATATTCTCCTCTCCCTTCCCCCCATAGTTTGCAACAGATGCAACTCATCAACACACCTCTTTTTGCTCTGCTTTTGACAAGTAGATGGGCAGAAATGATCTGTTTGGAGGACAAATTTTGTTTAGGCACCTCCAGTTGCCTCTTTGTAAATATATTTTGCTTAGGTGCCTCCTTGTAAATATTCTGGAAAATCTGTTTTTGTTCACATAAACATTTTACAGCCATCAACTTTCAGCAAAAATTATACAGCAAATTGTAATGGTAAACTGTAGAAAATTATGTGGGAAGTGAAAGACAGCCATGTGCTTCAGTTTGCCTTCTCTTTGTATTTACCATGAGCTTTGACCAAGCAAAAGCTGCAGAACAGCATTAATCATCTGCAGGTATCATATGAATGACACAGTATAAACAATTTACAATTTGTTTGTACTTTCACATAAGATTAAGAGGAAACATCAAGAAATTTATTTTGTATAAAAGAACAATGGAGGCAGAAACTACAACAGATGTAGAGTAAACAGTTCAAATTGTTTGCAGTACAATCTGCAGCATTTAACCATGATTAAGACTCTTGTGACATTTTTATGTATAACATCATTCTCAGCAGGGCTGGCTTGTAAACGATCACATGCTCTGAGTGAGCTAGTAGTGGCATCCTTCAGTTTGTGGAATGCCTTTGGAATCACTAGAGAAGGTTGAGCACAGGACATCCTGCTCATGAGCACACACAGAATGTATATTTCGGAGGCAGGGGATATAATAAATAGAAACATTTGTTACCAATGGGAAGTGAGATTGGAATGTGCTTATAGGCTTTTAAAAGATTTCTGTGGCAAAGCTTAGGTATGACATTGTAAATATTTACTAGTATTGTTGCTTCATATTAGTCTTAATAAAATTTGGGAAGTAAAATACATTTTTGGGGGGGGGGGAAGAAACTTCAATTTCCTGGAAGCTGTGAATCACAAACCTCTGTGGACAGAGTTTGGGGACAAAGACTGTTCTGAAACATCTATTCGAAAGTCACACCCGTTTCTAGGTTCCCATTGTTAAAACCTCTACAGGCAGTTCTGTAAACCTTTCTTTCTTCCCAGCACACCTTCCAAGGACAAATACTTGGAGGATCTGACAGGTAGTCTTCACTGTCAGATGAGTTGTATTTCCTTAGTCTTTGTGGGGAGGACCAGTGGCGTAGCATGGGGGGTGCAGGGGGGGCCGGCCGCACCGGGCGCAACATCTGGGGGGGGCGCGCTTGCACTCGCAGCTCTCTGCCCCTACCTGGCTCACTCACTCTCTCTCACTGCAGTGCTGGCTGTGCGAATCCGATCCGAGCCGCTGGGTCGCCGCCCACTGTGGAGGGGGTGGGTGCCAGGCGTGCGGTGTGGAGAGAGAGAGCGAGGGACTATCTGGGGGAGGGACAGTGCAGCGGCCGCCCAGCACAGCGCTGAGCGCGGGAGAGAACCACACCAGACCAGACCAGGCAGCAGCAAGAAGAAGCTGGCAGCGGCGGCAGGTTAGGGGTTAGGGGGCGCAAATTACTTGCCTTGCCCCGGGTTAGGGGGCGCAAATTACCTGCCTTGCCCCGGGTGCTGACAACCCACGCTACGCCGCTGGGGAGGACAAATGATTAACCCTTCATTCCTTCTTTCTATCTACATATTTTTTTTACCTGTGCTTGTGCATACTCTTTTCTTTTTCTTTTTCTTCTTAAATCCTGAAAAATAATTATTCTATTTTCTCCCTGTTCTACTTTCCACTTTTTTTTTTATCTCTCCAACCTCATACAGTACTTTTTCTATTCTCCCCAATCTTTGCTTGTGCTATCATTCAGCCTCAGAACTTGAGGACTGACTACATCATAAAAGGAAAAGATATTACATCTGAAGCAAGCTTCTGTTTCTCCCTTGTAGAGATTTCTGCCAAAATTCTTCAGATTCACAAGAGGACCATCAATATGTTCAGAAAGTTTGAGACAAGAGAAAAATTCACATTGAAGGTCATCCCTGATAACTTGGAATTGTGTACATTTCATAGCAAAAGGGAAAAAAAGGTCAGTACTAACCTAAAAAAAGTGCTGTGCAAAATACTTTCTCAGTATTATATCTCCAAAGAGATACAGACACTAAGGAAGCTTGCAACTAGCAGCCATTTCTAATCTTTTATTATGGGTGTTCCTTCATTAGCAGCTGCATATAGTAGTTTTTGTTGCAAACATAACTGGTCTAATTCAGGGCAAATATTTATTTTAACCAAAAGCAAAGTGCTTTATTATCTTGAGAATTTTACTTGCGTACTTTAGAAACATGGTTTCTACATGTTCAGATCTGTTGTTTAATAAACCTCTAGCATTAGTTTTGTAGATTACTCATTTATACCTACTGTACTAAATGAAAGAACCAATGTACTGCAGATATAAATTGAATTTTTCCATCTCCTAAACATGCATTTTCATGCAGCTAAAAGATATGGACTCATACAACTGCCTTTCTTTCTGATTAATTTAATTTTTAAAAAAATCATTAAAAGGGCTTTCAAAATAGTCCATGCTCTGATATGTATGACTGAAAGGATTACTCAGCATGTGAACAAAATCCACAAAATGCTATTTAAGTTTGACATGAGGCAGGCTGAGAGCATCTGCACCATCCCCTGGCTTGCAAATGCTTTGAGATGATCTTGACATTCCAGTCCTTAGAGAGTCTGCAGAGAGAGTTGTTTCCACTAATGGGTGGGAAATGCCTTCGAAAGTCTCATTTTCTCTCTCTGCTTCCAATTCTTCATCAGTTATAAATAATTTTGATTCCCTCCATCTGCTGTATAATTCTTGACTACCTCTTGAGCTACTGGTGTCACTACCAGAAATCTGTACATTCAGTTCTTCGGCTGTTGACTGTATAAGGTTTTGAACAGATAGCGATTTCCCTATATCCATTTGTACTATTGGTTTCACTGAGACCAAGGGTTCCCCTTCTGTATCAAGGCTTTTTCTCCATGAGAGATCCTTTGTCACACTGGACTGTGCAATTTGTCCATTATCATTTGAAGCAACAAGGCAAGCGGTGACATCAGAAGTATTTTCCTGTGTGCTCACGGGAATAACATGTATAGGCTCCAGCCTATTGTTATGCTTTACTGATGAAAAAGGTGGTATCTGTAACGTTGTAGGTGTTGTTGGCTTAGATGTCTGGTGTATTTGGTTTAGTGCATTATTAGCTGATAGAGTTGCAGGTCCATCATTTGGCACCTGTGTGGCTTGACTATGCATAGTTGGACTAAACGCATAGTAAGCTTGAGGGTTAAATTCATTTGGTGTCAGTATAAGCTGTAGGCCACATGGCATGTTGACACTGGCTGATCTGGATACGCATCCACTGGTCTGGGCAGAGCTAGACAAATCTTTACTATCTACAGGGCTTTGATAATCAGAAGTTTGATCACATTCAAAGGTTGGCATTTGAAATGAAGCCAAAGTCAGTGCAGATACAGATCCTTTCTTCAAGACCTGTTGGTAGATATCTAGTAGTGAGTCTAATTTTGACTCTATGGATTGAACCTGGCGGTGGAAGAAGAAAATTGTCTATGAATACCAAATATTATAAACCAAGCATTCATATATAAATAAACATAGAATATTAGAGTTGGAAGGGACCCAAGGGTCATCTACTCCAACCCCCTGCAATGCAGGAAGCTCAGCTAAAAACATCCATGACAGATGGCCAACCATAATATCTGCAAAGAAAGGCTAGTTAAATTTTGGTGAAAAATGAATCCAGTGAAATTTTACCCAAATGTTTGGAACTTATGGAGATATTTCTGTACAGCACTTATGCTATGACTACAATTTTCTAGGCCAGTTCTATTCCCTTAAAACTGGCACAGTCCCACTGACACAACAAAGAAGAATAAAAGTACAAAATGCCACTGACACCTTAGAAGAATAATTTTGCACACAAAATGACTTTGGTGTAGATACCAGAGGAAATTATTTTATCTTCCATATATTAAACATGTTTTAAATTACTGAAATAGTGATAAATAAAATAAAATGGGACTCGTGATCTTTGAGAGTCATGTTACCTGTTTTTCCACCTTGACTACGCGCCCTAGCATGCTAAGGTCATCAGCTGTCTCATTCTCTGCGGTATTTTTCTCTCGACTTCTTTTATCAGAGGCAATTTGTCCCCTTCCAAGAATCTGGTCAACCCTGCAAGGTAATTAAATATACAAGTGTGCAAGATCACTTCAGCAGGTAAGAGTACTTTCATTTGGACCCTACAAACAATTTTCATTTTAGAATGAAGGTGCATTCTAAAAAAATGGGTATAGGTTCTGGCCATGATGAAGGGCTTTTTTTGTTTCTACTGCGCACAGTGATTTCTCCTTTCAAACAAATGACTGTCAATTTTATCTTTTGAGTTGGCCAATTAACTGTGGGGGGAAAGGGAAGTACAGTGGTACCTCGGGTTACAGACGCTTCAGGTTACAGACTCCGCTAACCCAGAAATAGTACCTCGGGTTAAGAACTTTGCTTCAGGATGAGAACAGAAATCGTTCTCCAGCTGCAGCAGGAGGCCCCATTAGCTAAAGTGGTGCTTCAGGTTAAGAACGGACCTCCGGAACGAATTAAGTACTTAACCCGAGGTACCACTGTAGTTGCCTAGAATCAGTTTGCTACCCGTCAGAACACTGATCAGAGTTGTTGAGAGTGACAACTATCTGTTTAGTGGTTAATGCACAAATATCTGTAGACAGTTGTCCACTGTTGTTTTTAAATCTGATTTTTTATATCAGACACAAATGAACTTGTGGGCACAATCTTCAAAAGCTCAAGGAAAATTAGTATCAAGGAGACACAGTAGTGTTAAAACACAAAGCTTGGTTTTTGCCAAGCTAAAGATAAAAGGCAGTTTATATGAAGGAACTTATTTGTAAAAGGATTTCCATCCCTTACCTTGATTGAAGACTTTTAATTCTGCACAACATATCCAGGTGGCCTGCTGAATACTGTTCTATGACATCTTTAACATCATAGGGACGCAAAGTTTCTTTAAATTTCCTTTTGGCAACATGAAATTTCATGATTCTGTACAAGAAATACGATCTAGATTAATTATCCATATGCACTTTATACATCAAAACAAGGCCATGAAAGTGGCCCATCAATAAGCTCACACAAAACAATCAGCAATTCTAGATAGGCTAAGGATGATAATACTTTTACTGAGAACTATTTAGGAAATTAAATGTGCTTAAGAAGCTCCATTCCATGGGGTAGTATTCAACTAAATATTTGTGCTAGCACAAGGATTAGTGCTAGTGCAATGGAACTCACCCCCCCCTTTGCTTTGTACATGACCTGCACTATTTCTAAATATATTCTGAAGTGTTGGGGGGAACCTCAGAACACATTTAGGGGACACAAGGAGGAAGGAGATGGAGAAAAATTATTGTGCTGATGTAACACTTCCCTTAGCACTACAGCCCATTATTTCTACTGTACTATGATAAATGAAAATATAAACAAGAAGTGGGGAACCTCCAGGCAGTGGGTCAAACATGGCCTTCTATCTGGCTCTCGTAACTCCCCCCTTCCCAATGCCATAACCCCTTTCTTGCTACACTCCTCACTGGCCTACTTCGTACCTTTAACTGCCTTTGCCTGGAACTGGGATAATGCCTCTTGCTTGCCAAGATAGAGGATGCTGCATGGTATGTGGGTGTGTGCAGAAACCCCTGGCTTCTGCACGACTGTAATGTGGTCAACTATTGCAAACTACTGTAAGAGTTATAGCCACTGTCTCACCCTGTTTTGGCCATGAGCCCACAAACTACAGGCATGCAGTTGCCGGAAGGTTGGCCCCAAGAAAATGTGGTTCTTGGGTTGGAGAAGATGTTCCACTCTTGATACCAACTGTCCCAATATCATGCATATACTGAAGCATAAGCACTTTCCATAGACTGAGAGAAACTTGTGCAGCTTTATGTGAATGTAAAAGCGAGATTGTTTTCACTAATGCCAAGAAATAACTCCATCCCAAATAACTTCATTAGATTCTGCAAATGAAGTTTTATTCTTAGCACCCAAGCTATGTGACAGCAACAGACCTGTGTTTTCAGTGTACCTCTGTCACAGTTATGGCCCCAGCTGTACTGTACATTTACTATATTACACTATCACATGGAAATTGTTCCAAACATTTTCTTGTGTGTTATAAAAGGTGCTTAAATTTTCATTTTGCAAAAGGAAACTCTGTGTATTCATTTTGCTTCTCATTAATTATTAAATTGTTACTGTTTATTGGAGTTAGACCAGCAGCTTATTCATTTAATTGCTTTGGTTGTTTCTGTTTTGAAACCCAATCCTAGAACACATTCGCTGAGGGTCTACCTCCTCCACTAGAACCTTTCTTTCATAACTCCAATTCATCATTCCAATAAAAGTTGTCAAGCTTCAGCAACTTTGGGAGGCTAGATAGTTTTGATTATGATGAAATGAGGCAAGAAATAGAAATCAATTATAAAATATATGTTTTTCTCTTAGTAATCAGGGAAGAAGTACTTTGCTGCTGGCTTATTTCTAATGTTATTTTATTCTGACATATTTTCCAATACAATTTATGAAAACGCTACATAATTTGTCATCAGTGAGATGTTCAAAAGATTAAAAAGCACTTTTCTGACATAAGTATTGGTCAACTGAACTATTCCTTACAGATGGCAATTTGCATCATTTTCAATACAACACGTTGATGGATATGTTCAGCAGAGCCTATACTTCCAAGTAATGTTAGATTTAGATAAACCGAAACTTCCTCTACATTTCATAACATACTATTTGGATCATGGGACTGAGAGTGGGGAAAAAAAACTGCTGGAGATGCCTGTGACAAAGCAGACTCTAGTCCACATAATCTTATGACACAATAAATACGTTAGTAATTAAAGTGCCTCAAGATTCTTAGTTGAATTAGAATGGTACATCAGCTAGAGAGCACTGACATACTGTTGCCAGAACTATTTTATTTGCAAGAGGCAAAGCAAACAAATCACTCAGTTTTTCAAAGCACTATTCTAGTAAACTCCTTGTCTTGGACTACATGTATTCTAATTTTCAGCATTTAATCTGAGTATGGTGCAAGTTCTTTTTCATATATA